GTTTTCAAATAGCACAGAAAATTGGTTCATGGCAGATGTTTTTCAAACGGCAGATGTTTAACTAAAGATTAAACAGCTTAAAATATAATTAAAAAACATATGAGCTCATTTTGTTTCTCTGTTATCCAGTATAATACGTAGACTTTTTAAAACTTTTCCGACCTAACGAAGAAAAGAGATATTTTTCCTTCAAAATTACCTTTATTTTTCGACATAGTCTCTTTGTAAGTCTATACATTTCTTCCAGCTATGCTGCCATCCTGTTAAATCGCCCAAATAAGATGTGGAATCTTTCTCTGTAATGTCTCTTCATGTGACGAAAATATTTATCCTCCAAGTGCTCCTTTTAGCTTAGGGAACAAAGCAAAGTCCCTTGATGCCGGGTCCGGCGAGTAAGGCGGGTGGTCAAGCAATTCAAATTGTAATTCCTGCATTTTCGCTATTGAAACAGCTGAGATGTGAAATGGAGAACTGTCTTGGTGAATTTTTTTTTTTTTTTTTCTTCTACGAATGTGGCTGTTTTTCCGTAATTTCTGCCCTCAGCTCGTCAAGTAACGTTGCATAATATGCTTCGGTAATAGTTATCTCTTTTAAAGGTAATGTATTGAGACAATGTGGCTGTCCCAGAAAACTCTTGTCCTCACTTTCCCAGCACAGCGAACAGTTTTTGCCATTTTTTGAAGCTGATTCTCCCTTTGTAGTCCAGTGTTTTGTCTGTGTTTTTGTTTCTGGACTGTAATAATGAATCTAGATTCCATTTACAGTGATTAATAGCCAAAACTCTCCGATTTATTAAGCCACCAGAACGGTGCAAATGTTATTTCGGGCACGTTTTCTGTCCAACGTGAGCAAACGCAGCACCCAGTGTGCAGCCTGCTTGCGCATAGCTAAATCTTGGTTAAGCATGTGGCAAACACTTTCTTTGGTCATGCTAATAACCTCTGCCATCTCTCTAACTTTGATTTGATAGTCGTCAGCACCATTTGGTGGATTGTAACGATGTTTTCTTCAGTGGTTGCAGTTTTTGGCCGTCCTGAACGTTCATCGTCATCCAGGCGGCACGCCCACTTTTAAATTTAGCTGCCCAAAATTCCACAGCAGTAAGTGATGGTGCAGAGTCACCGTATACTGTGCCCAGTCCTCTTTAATCTGAGTAGGCGTATTGTCTTTAAAAAACAGGTTTCTAATCACAGCACGATACACGAAGTTTTCCATTTTTGCAAATACGGTCACATCAGCTCACAAAAATAGTTGTCAAACAAAACATTCACGTTCAAAATAGCTGAAATTTTGATTTGTGATTATCACGTGATGCCAAACAAGTCCCCTCTACTTCGGCTGATTTGAGTTGCCATCTAGATATTGTCGGAAACTTTTCAGACAGCCCTAGTACTACATTTCAAACGGTACTCTAAACAGGCACTAGTTCGCAATAATTTGATGAATTATTGATCAAACGTTTTAGTTGTTCTCATTTATTTTAAGGAAACGATATATCATTGCAGGATTTTAAGTTAATTATTTTATGCAAAGAGAATCAATTACATATTTCGCCTTAATATGTACAAGGAAATCACGTATTGCAAAGTTCGCAATTAGACCTAGAGTGATGCCACAAAAAAAACTCTGAGCGTTTTGAAGAGGATAACATCTCATTCTTCTGCAAGAAGATTTTCTCTGTCTCACTTTAATTAATGTCTTTTAATTTTAACTTTAGTGCTTCTAATGCAGATGCTTTCAATATAATGAAGAAAGTGCTGCTCAGACTCTTAGTACAGAGTGTTTCGAAACTCATCGGCAAACATTTAAGGGATGATAGAAAACATCAAAACAAGAAATTTTCACCTTACAATGCATGGGCGGAAAGCAAGCGGTAAACCGCTAGACAGCGCTGAAATGGAAAGCATAATCGAGAGTTTTCTTACAATTATCATTCTAGCGTGTATTTCAGAAGGCATGTCTATAGTAATCAGGGAAAGGCGGATATGCATTTTATGTATGGTGTACTATGATTCTAAACTAATAAGTGGACTGTATAGCAAAAGAACTAACTAATTTATTTACAGTAATTAACTATTCAGATCTAATACATGCTCTGGCATGTTGCTTAGCCGAATCCAGATGGCCAAGTGAGAGTTTCTCTCCCTATCCAGTAGGTGGCGCTGTATTCTAACTTAACATGCTGCCGCCCGTTGAAATTACAAATTTCAACATGTAAATTACAAACATACAATTTAACATTCTAACAATAACTAATTCTACAATACAATATGAAAGCTAATAGATAATTTCATCATGAATATAATATAAAATAATATAACATTTTGAGAAAATTAAACATTCACTATGCTACAATCGAACTTATTCTTTAAACAGTTCCATTTTAATGTAAATCACAATTTTCAATAAGAACATAATAATGTAAACTAAGCAGCATTATTATCCTGGATAGGTAATAAACAAATTTTACTAATACATCGAATATACACACCATTTGATGTTTTCACTTTAACAACTCTGGCCTTATTATCTTTACCAGGTAAAACTTCTAGAATTCTAGCTAAAGACCATTTAAATGGGGGAAGATTATCTTCCTTTAACACAACTAACATACCTGCCTGCTTTAAATTTTCTTTATTAATAAACCATTTGGTGCGTTGTTGTAGATGATTTAAATAATCAGTTTGCCAACGTTTCCAAATAACTTGAATGAACTTGGTAATAACTTGCCATTTAGAAAGTCTATTATCTGTAAGATGAGACAAATCTGGTTCAGGATATGAAGTAATGGAACGTCCAATTAAAAAAAAAAATGACCCGGCGTTAAGGCTTCAAAGTCATTTGCATCTGTTGATAAGGGTAAAATTGGACGAGAATTGAGAATACCTTCAATCTGTGTGTGACAACAGTCCAAAATTCTTCTAAAGTTAATTTATAACTGCTGATTGTACGCTGAAGATGGATATTTAAATGACTTAATACCTGCTTCCCATAAACCACCGAAATTTGGTGCTCTAGGTGGAATTAGTTTCCAATTTATACCTTCAGATGTTAAGAAATCTGCTATGTCAGAATTAGATTTAAGGACTAAACTATGCAATTTTTTCAGTTCTGATTTTGCACCAACCATATTAGTACCGTTATCTGACATTATGGTATTACATTTTCCACGTCTAGCAATAAATCTTTTAATAGTAGCAAGTAATGAATCTGTGGTTAAATCAGTTACTACCTCTAAATGTACTTGCTTTAGTAGCTAAACATAATGAATATAGCAACGTACACTTTTGCATAATTACCCTTTCTCTGATTTTTATACTTGATGAGGAATGGACCAGAAAAGTCGAGTCCACAAGTATTAAATACAAACCCTGGATTAACTCTCTCACCAGGTAAATTTCCCATAAGTTGTTCACATACAATTGGTTTAACCTTAAAACATGTTACACATTCATGTACAACCTTTCGAGCTATATCTCGACCATTAATAACCCAAAATTTACTACGAACCTGATGCAATAGTGCTTGAGCACCAAGATGTAAATATTTAACATGGTAATACTGAAAAATTAATCTAGTAAATACATGATCTTTTGGCATTACATAAGGAAACTTTTGGTTGTAATTAAGATTACTATTGGCAAGTCTGCCTCCTACTCTCAGAAGAGAATCATTATCTAAAAATGGACATAAAAATTTTAACTTACTTTTGGAAGAAACACAATTCTTATTTTTTAAAGATAGAATATCCTTGCTAAAATGTTGTAACTGTACATACCTGATCATGATTTTCTCAGCGTCATCCAATTCTTTAACAGTTAGAGAACCTATTAAATTTTTCCCCTTACAATTGGCTATAAATCTACAAACAAAAACTTAACCACAAAATAATACGAATATAGTTATTACTAATGTTAAGAATATGATCTAAAACAAGGGAATTAGAGTTCACATTTAGATTAACTAAGTCATTATCCTTAAGTTTGAGTTCTTTGACGTATTCCACATCATCCATATCAGATGAAATTAATTCACAAGGATTAGTCAAAAACCTCTCCTTAGTCAAGAAAGTTGGTCCATACCACCATAAATCATTATGAAGAAGATCTTTAGGTTCAGCTCCACGTGATATCAAATCAGCTGGATTATTGTGAGTGCTAACATGGTACCACTCATAAACAGCAGTCATGCTTCGAATAACAGATACTCTATTAGCAACAAATGTCTTTAGTTGATAAGGTTCCTTCTTAATCCATGCTAACACTATTGACGAAGCAGTGAAGTAATACACCTTGACTATAGGCAGCTGAATGGCCTCTAATATTCTTTTCATTAGTTTTACCAACAGAACTGCACCACAAAGGTCCAAACGAGAAATGGTAATTGACTTCAAAAGTGACACACGAGACTTGCTGCACAGAAGTCTTGATGAACATTCATTTGAAGATGACATACATTTCACATAAATTGCAGCACCATAGGCTTTCTGACTAGCATCACAGAATCCTATAATTTCTATTTGTTGTAATCCATTGGTTAGAACAAATCTGGGGATGCGATAATCGTTGACTATTTTTAGACTATGCAGAAATTCCTTCCATTCTTCAAAGTAATTTTTAGGAAGAGGTGTATTCCAATTTAATTTTAGAAGCCAAAGGTTTTGTAGAAATATTTTAGCTTTTGTCGTAACAGGTCCAATTAAACCTAACGGATCAAAGAGGCGACCTATCGTTGATAAGACATCTCTTTTCGTGCCTGTTTCTTCAAAGTCAGGTATCTTTAAATCGTAAGAAAAACAGTCTGTAGACGTATTCCATGACATTCCTAAGGCCTTTGTAATCTGAGGCTTATCCGTAACTTGAAAGGAGTAATCCTGAGTAGCACTTTCTTTATTCTTCAATAGTTCTGGATTGTTTGAACACCATTTGTGTAACTGCATTCCACCACGTTCTAGAAGACAGGGTAACTGTGTCTGCAACTCCTTGGCTTCTTGCATCGTATTAGCTCCAGTGAATAATGTCGTCCACGTAACAGTCCTTCAGTATGGCTCTTGAGGCATGAGGAAAGTCTGTCGCTTCATCCATTGCTAACTGCTTCAGGACCCTTGTTGCAAGGAATGGTGCACTTGCTGTTCCGTATGTTACAGTCCTTAGACGGTAAGTCTGCACAGGACTACCAACTGATTCCTTCCACAAGATCAACTGCAGGTTTCGTTGAGATGGTTCAATAAGTATTTGTCTGTACATCTTCTGAACATCAGCTCCTAATGCATAGTTGTACTTTCGAAATCTAATAATAATAGAAAATAAATCTTCTTGAGGTATTCGCCCTTTCATTAATATTGAGTTCAGTGACTTTCCATTGCTAGTAGCCGCGGATGCATTAAACACAACGCGAAGCTTGGTAGAGGCTTTCTCTGGCCGATAAACTCCATGATGACTAAGATAATTGCAAGTCGATGTTTCAATTTCTTGAACTTCTTCCATGTGATTTAGATCCTTATATTCTTTAATAAAATTCTTATATAATGTTTTCATCTTCGAATCGCTTTCTAGTCGATTCCACACTTGATGCAATCTTTTCTCAGCCAGCGTTTTCGATTCTCCTAATTCTATACCTTCCCTTATGGGTAACTGAACTACGTATCTTCCATCATTTTGTCTATAGTGAGTACGCTTGAAATGTTCTTCACAGTATTTTTCTTCTTCACTCAAAGCATCCTCGATATTTTCAATGGATTCAACTTCCCAAAATCTGTGCAAAATTTCTTCAACTTTTTCTTCACTATTTAGAACTAAACCACAATAATTTACTTCTGAGTCACTCTTGCATGCACCAGACGCGATATATCCAAAAACTGTTTCTTGGAATATCAACGGTTGATTTTCTAATTGAAATTTTCCTTGTTTTAAAATCTCAAAGAACAATTCGGCCCCTAATAACATATCTATTTTGTTAGGTGTTCCAAATTGCGGATCCGCTAATTCAATATCAACCGGAATATTTAATGACTGCACATCTAAACACCTTGATGGAGTTACATTGGTTATTTTAGAAATAACCAAGCAATTAACTGATCTTACATATGTTAAATCCTTATTCGAAATCTGTACATCTAGTTGATAATTAATATTTATAACGTTCTCATTAATTCCGGATACAGATGCATAAATTCTTTCTTTCTTTAAATTTAACAAATTAGCAACTCCTTCACACAGGAAACAACTCATGCTGCCGTTATCAAGTATTGCGCGAACTGGGATTCTTTTTCCTTCGGAATTGCAAATATATATTATTGCAGTCGCCAATAAGACGTTTTTTTCTGCGTGTCAAAAGACAACTTGATTGATTTTTATTAGAGATATCTGCGTTCTTGTTTATAATTTCGTCACTCGTTGCTTCCGTTTTTGTTTTGTCTAACTTATGTTCGATGGCGCCATTTCTGAGCAGGCGATGTATTAATGAATGGTGTTTTTTATGGCATTCCGAACATCTGAACTTAGAATTGCATTTTGCGATTAAATGCTCGTTACTGAGACAGTTTAGACACAATTTATGGGTTTTAACTATTTCATATCTTTGATTTGGATTTAATTTCAAAAATGAATCACATTTATGCAGTGGATGATTATTATTTTTGCATATAACACAAATCGAAACACTATCGGTTTTAACCATCAGAGCCTTTGATTTCGAATTTTTTTCTAACGGATATTTCATTTTATTAGCATTACGGTTAATGTTATCCAATAACTGACATCTTTTCTCTAAAAAAAACGAAATTAATTCATCAAACGTAGGAACTTCCGTAGCATTAATGCTTAGTTCAAATTGTTTGCGCGTTTCGAAATCTAGTTTCTGAAGTACGATATTTAATAACAGAATATCCGATAAATTATTTTTCTCATATTTTAAAACATTCAAAGCCCTAACGTTTTTAGTAACATTATCTATTACATATCTTATTCCTTTAGACGATTCGAATGTTAAAGTACGTAAATCCATTATTGACTTTATATGCGTCTCAATTAATATTCTTTTATTTTCATACCTATCTTGAAGAGCTTTAAATAGAGAACTAAAAGTATCATCAACAGTTTCAAGATTTTTTGCTTCATCAGTTAATGCAGCCTTTAAATAGTAGAGTTTCTGAACTTCTGTTAATTGCGTGTTATTCGCTATGATGTTTTCGAATTGAAGCTTAAAATTATTCCATTCGGTATATTTACCAGAAAACTTAGGAATTGGTAATTCTGGCAAACGTATTTGTACTTTAGGATCAAATTTATTACAATCATTTTCATTTTCAGAATGTGCGATAGATGATAGAATTTCCATAATTCTTACCTCCAGAACTTCAGTTCTATCTTCCATTTCGGTGATTTCTTCATCAACGCTTTCGAAATATCTAATCCTCAAGTTTCTAATATCCATCTGAATGCTTTGTAGCGATCTATACTTTATTTGAATTTCGTTCTTATTCGAACTATCATCATACGCCTTCACTACATTTTCTAACCTAGTTAGTTTCGCTTTTAACGAAGTTTTATTTCTATCTAATGCCAGCATGCTGTTCTTTCTCCGGTTCTGCTGACCATGTACTATGATTCTAAACTAATAAGTGGACTGTATAGCAAAAGAACTAACTAATTTATTTACAGTAATTAACTATTCATATCTAATACATGCTCTGGCATGTTGCTTAGCCGAATCCAGATGGCCAAGTGAGAGTTTCTCTCCCTATCCAATAGGTGGCGCTGTATTCTAACTTAACATATGGTCTTGCAAATGGGAATACTATGTAGATGGGAAAATAGGAATACCCCGTGCCAGTCCAAGACGAGCACACAGTAAATAAAAACATTCACACACACGCAAACACACACGCAAAAAACAATATATATATAATTGTTTTCCTTTCCTTTTTCCTTCCGTTTTCTTTTTAACTAAAAATGGCTACTGCTCTCTTATTATTTATTCTGTTCATAGTCTTCCGCGCCAATTTTCTAACTAAATTGTAATTATTCAATATTCGAACTTCATTAAATTCCCCATTATAACTAAATTCTGCAAGAATATCAGAGAAATAAGAGCAGAACTCCGCGAAGTGTCTAGCAATGCTCATTTCATTGCAGAAACTGCAAGTGTCAGAATCTTGTAAATAAATCTTTAAGTAAATAGGAAACGGTCATACCTAGTCAAATTTGACTTGGATGAATGTCTATAAAAACAATATTTTTCTTATTTTCACATATTTCATATAATTTCCATTGCAGCCAGAATTCTGCCACGAAGCTTTTCAATTCCCATAACTATAATTTTTAATGGCAGACAAAGATTTCCTTTTAGATCCCTGTAATTCAATTTGCCGAGCTATGGGATCTATCGCTGCATCCATTGCTAGTGCGTCCGCTCTCTCATAACTGAAAATTTCTGAATGTGGCCTTAACCCAGTTAAAAATAATATTATGTTCGTTTTTAAAGTTCTTTATGTAATTTAATTACTTCAAAAATCAGTAAGTTCGTCTGATTCGGTCGGGAGGGTGCCTGAAGAACAGACATGCAATTAGAATGTATACGGATAATATATCTTTTCCCTAAATTCATTTTAATACATTTTAAGGAATAAATGCTGCAGCTCCAGCCTGATATGCTGTGTTATAGAAATTCCATTTATACTCAGCAGCTTCTATTTCCATTCCTTAATAGCAAACCGCTAATGCAAAGTCAATATTATTTCCCATCCCGGACCCGTCAGTATAAATATTAATTTCGCTGACTTGTGGAGTATTAGTCTGATAGCGAATAGAAATTCTCTTTGGTGGGTTAATATGATTAATATTAAATATTTCAAAGGCACAGTGCGTAACAATATAGTCATTATAAACCTTTAATTCTATGTTTCCAGTTCTAAGAAAAAAAATATCGTAATAATAAGCAAACAATTCGGAGAGCGGAAACGCACCAGCCAAAACACATCCAAACTTCGTAGAGATACTTTGGAAGCATCTAGTAAATATTAAAACCAAAGTACCCTAAATCAAATTCAGTTTAAAACGCAAATGAACAAGCTCACCTCCCCGGGAACCTCATGCTCCTATTTCATATATGACTTTAGAAACCACGATATATTCATAAATAGCTCTAAGTATTTTATTATTAGTATTTTTACCAGAAAGTATATAGATAGTATATAGATACATAGATAGTATTTTTACCAGAAAAATTTCGCTTGGAAAAGTTTTCTTATAATAATTTTAAATATATTTGGTTTTCCTGTGAACAGTTTTAAAATGATAAGCAAAATTCAAATGGCTATCAGTTAAAACACCAAGGTATTCAAACTCTTCTTTAAATCTAATTTGTTTCGCTTAGTTAATTTATGTTGGGTTTATTTGTCTGTTTTAGAGATGAGCAAAACGGTTCTTTAAGGGATAAGATCGGAACCGTTCGCTCACTGAAGTGAATCAGTTCTTTTTAACAATTCACCGCTCACTAACAATGAATGATCTTGATGAATGTACTCCGAACAGTCGTGGATCAAAAGAGGTATGAAAAGATGGGGAAGAAGAAGTTCACTCCCTGGACTGATTTCTTTAACCTGTACTTTTCAGATTTCCTAAAAACAATTCTACATAGAACAAAAAAAAATTCTGGAATTAAAAAATTCTAAAAGCTAAACTGACTTTTGTTAAAGATTACATTATTTTATTACTATGTAGAGATATTAAATATTTTTGGAAGCAGGAGTATAAAAAATGAGCTACGCCTTCGCCGGAAATCGAACCACAGACCTCTGGAATACGCGCCCAGCATGCAGACCACTACACCACGAAGACACGCCAAGTAGGCGGGATAAATACCTTATATACTCCCCCTTTTAAAGGGCGACTGCGATTTTAGGAGACTCAATCGCCAAATCCTGAGTGTGGAGAATCATCATCCACCACCCTTTTTTTTAGTTCCGGGGCCCCCGTAGAGATATTATGTATTTCTTTAGAAGCAGGAGTCAGGAAAAATGAGCAACGCCTTCGCCGGGAATTGAACCACGAACATCTGGAATACGCGCCCAGCATGCAGACCACTACATCACAAAGGCCCGTTAAGAAGGCGGAAGATATACCTTATAACTATAATTGATATTTTGTTGCTACTAAAAAATACAGTGTATAAATAAATTTTTAAATTGGAGGCAGATCCCAAAGAACAGGAAACTGTCTGCTGAAAATACCGGTATTTTCCTTCTTATTTAATTTAAATTACTTTGACAAAATGATACCAAATATTGCTATGTTCTTCTATTCGGTAGGATCCACATTTTGTTTTGCTATCCTTGGAAAATATATTAGATGGAAAAATTTATGTTTATAATCTATACTAATTCTAAAGAATATTAATGAGAAATTCACAGCGCTTGATTACAAAATGTTAGCAAAATAAGTAAATAAATAAAAATATAATTTATTATTTTACATAAATATTAACGTAGTAATATATAAAAAAAGGTAATACCTACTATACATAGCTATATAATGACACAGTATTCAAAAAATCGAAATGATATTCAAAGGAACAGCTCTGAGGAAAGAGCAAATAATCAAGACTCCAGGCCCTTTTTCCAGGCCCCCGGGAAAAAATGAAGCATTATATAAAATACAAAAAACTCAGGATAGAGTTCATATGAAGATCTAATGATGACAGTATGAATTCCGTCCAATCCAGGAGAACTCTTCTTGTATAACTGTGAAACCTCTCGTTTCAATTTCCCATTCGGTATAAAATCTTCATCATTCCCTTCACATTCTTGCAATCTTTCCAAAACAAAATCCAAATTATCGTCAATCGCTATTCTAGTACCCAGAATATGATCGATAACATTAACATTCATCCAAGTCGTAAATTCCCATCAGATCTTTACAAAGCTATTTTCTTTCTTGATTTCTGGATAGCATATTTAAGCATTCCATCGTAATAGCAATTATACTCTTCATAAAACCATGTTAATTTGCTACTATATTTTGTTTTCTTAATTAATTTCTTATAAATGACGGGCAGTTTCTTATAGACTATTCTTCATTTTATTTTAATTTCTTCCGAGAAACCCACCTGAAAAGATTTCGTAAATGACTTCTTTTCACACTAGTAAGGTCCAGGTGTCCACCATGAAATAGTTTTCCAAGGATTCCTTTTAGTTTTTAAAAATTTCTCTATAAGTATTACTAAATGTATTACTAAATGTCTTTCGAATTCAGTCATAGTACCATTTAACTGGAGGTTATTCTCTACATTTAATAATTGATCCTGGTAACTGTGAATCCTGTCTTTCATTTATATGCAAAATGTCTTAATATATCATTTCTTGTAATAACAAATTTCTCTCTTTGCTTAAAGTTAACCATTTTAAAATGCAAAATTACTTATTCGTGGTCACTCAGCGTCTCTTCATCAGAAACATCAAAAGTATAATCTGAAATATTTACATCAGATGAGCCAATTAATTCCCGTTGAGGAAGGAAAAGTCGGGGCAGAGTCAAAAGCGTTAAAAAGTAAAAGAATTTTTGTGCACAATAAAATCATACATCGTTGCTCCTCTACCACCAGTAATTTCTACGTCCCACACAAAATGTTTTGTGTTAAAGTCTCCCAAATTAAAATAGTTAGTGTATAAATTTAATACTACATCTAGTTGTTGGTGCTACTTTGGTAGACTGTTGCATGGATTTTTGGCGATTTACTTTGGCGCAATTGTTGACGCTGTTTTAACAATCGCCAGCCATCTTGTAAAAAGCTGTTTTTACGTATTTTTACGTATTTGTAAAGTATTCGAAACTTTAAAAAAAATAAAAATAAATAAAAAAAATAATAAATAAATAAATAAATATTGTTAAAAATAACAGAATAATTTTTAGTATAAAACGATTTTTTTTAAGATGGCAGGCAAATGTAAATAAAAAAATTTACTACGAGTATAAAATACTAATGTAAGGTTAAATTATTACTTTCATATAGCAATGAAATAGAATAAAAACATCGATATAAAAACATTGCTCCAACGTTTAATTGGATTAAAATATTACTTAAACTGAATATCGAATTAAAAGCCATCATACCAACGTTTACAAGAACTAAAATATTACTTAAATTCAAATACTTTAAAATAAGTAAACAAGAAACGCTTCGTATACTAGAGCTAAAATGACAGCAATTAGAAAATTACTGCCGGTAAAAAAAGATGAATGTCTAATACTTTATTTGTACCGTTACAGCGTTATTTCTTCCACCGTGAACCATAATACCATATACGGCCGTCCTCAGAATCGGCTCTTCTAACGATTTTCCTCTGCGATCCACATTTCTCGCACTTCATTAAAGAAGCAATTAGCGAGGTTTCCTCCAAAAACTTAAAATACATTCCCTCTGACCCTTGTAAGAATTTATAAATAAATCTTTGATTAGGACAACCAGGTTGGCCAAAATATGGTCTCAAAGGACAATTTTTTGATTCAGATACCAATAATTATTGGTATTTAACAATAACAACATTAATCTTCGAAAGGGACATATCCGTTCCATATGAAATGTAAGGAATTCGAAGAGATGAATAATAAAATTTTAAAATAAATGAAGAAATATTCAGTAACCAATCAGGGAGCTGATTACATCTCGTTAATGCATAAATATCCCTTAATCAATCAGGGAGCTAATTACATCACGCATAGAATTAAAATTATTTAAATAATCATACACAATAACATCATTTTTTAAAAAAATGCAAAATTAAATTGTATTTTAATATTTAACAGCCATAAACAATGTTTAAAACATTAGATTAAATTTAAAGATATTAAAACCAATTAATTTTAAAGTAATGTGACGTCATTCATCGCATAATCCACAACATAAAATATAATAAACAATATTTTTTTTCAAATAAAATTGCCAAATTAAATTGATTTTTAATATTTAAAACAGGGAACTTATGCATAATAAAACGCTTTTTTTTAATAAAATGACAACGGTTTTGTAATAAAATGCCAATTATCGGTTACCATAAATAACTGTCGAATCCGCCAAAAAAAATCGCCAAAATCCGTGCAACCGTCTACCAAAGTAGCACCTAGCTCTTCTCCATTCCTTTTTACTTCCTTGTACGAAGTAAAAAGGAAGTATTGTAATCGCGAAAAGTTTCAGGCAGCATATTTCAACGAAAATATCCATTTTGACCGCTATCGAATGCAATTTAACGATGTTTTTGCGTAATATCTGTACGTAAGGACAGAATAAAATACTCTTTTCCTTCAAAAAAAATTATAAAACTGCTTTAAAATTAATTCTGAAGAGAATTTTTCGTGGCGTCTGTACGAACGTAGGTACGTACGTGCGTGCGTACGTACGTATCTCGCATAACTCAGAAACGAGTAGCCTCAGAACGTTGAAATTTTGTATATAGGACTGCTATAACATGTAGATGTGCACCTCGTATTTTGGTTGCAATCGGCCGCACCAAACGTGTATAAATATATTTATATATATATCCACTCTGTTACCCGGCTCAGTGATCTCAGTTTCTTTACTCTTATATGTTTGTAAATTGTACATTTTTTGCTTTAAAAAATGATTGAATTATGTTGTTTTTATCTTCCGGTTAAGGATTTTATGCCTTTAGTAAATCTGTGTGCAATATTTTTAGAATTATCAGCAATTTTAAAGTGGCTTAATTGCCGCTAAGCCTTTTTTTTATGGCGGCCATTGATTGTTTACATTTGAAACAGCAGACTAGTGGATTTGTTACCAATCTAGAGAAACTTAGCTTCGCAACAACAAAGATAACGCCTTCATTTATTAGTGCCAATTAAATCATGCTTAATCCTTTCTGGAATTTTTTCGAGGAAATAAGAGTTTAAGATTTACTTCGTAATTTTAATATAGATATTTTGAGTTTTTTATGTATTTTTGCCTTGTCGCGAAGTGAGAACTGAATTAATTAAATGAGAAATACTCAATCGTCTGTGAAAAACAGTTTCTTTTTTGTTTTGTTTGCTTAATTTCTTTTATACATCGTTCTAGCTTTATTATAGTATTTGAATAGAACATGTGGCCACGATTAGATAATTCTATTCTTTAAATGATATAAATTTTGTGCATTATGAGTTATAATATGAACGAAATATAATACTGAAGGGGAGTCATCAGTTTTGCGCAACACAAAAAGTGAGAATTTTAGCTGATTTTCGAGTTTTAATAATTCAAATTGTTTTTGTCATTCATATATGAAATTTTCAGTGTGTCATCTTTATACATAGATGAATATCCTTCTTGATTTATTTTACTTAATAGTGTTTAAGAAATTGTTTTATAAAGAAAAAACTAACTGTATTTTCCGAAAATTTAAAATTTGTACTGAAGCACTGCACGCAAACTGACAGTAATACAAATTTAAATACAATAATAATTTTTAAGTGAATCTAGCGCCAGAGCGTCGCTGTTGGTAAACAAACATACTAGAGTTAATATTTAAAGAATGCATTTATTCTATTGTGGGTTCATGGGCTATCGGCGAAGTAAGACTTTAATTCAATCCAATAAGTTTGAATGAAATGCAAGAAAAATGCGTATAATTTAATATTCCGGACGAGGAAGTCATGTGGTGTACACATCAGATTTTTTTATATAAGCAAGGGTACCCTCGATAATGTTTTCGTGAGTTAAAAAAATGTGCGGATATTTACCAGCAACTTTTCAAGCACAGAGAGCTAAAGTGCTGCAGCTTGGCAATGGTTTAAGTTAATTCTCAGAATCTTCATCAAAACAGAAAATCCAAATAGAAAAAATAAAAATACAGATAAATAAAAAAAGTAAACATAAACAAAAAAAAATCTGAAATGTTTCAGATTTTACAGAGATTCGCGCGTTGGAGATAAAAATGTTTTTTCTGTACAACGTTGCCATTACTTGCTTTGAAATCCTTGAGTTTGTTAATAAAAAATTCGTTAAAGTTTTACAAAATTTGAAATCGATAATAAAACAGATTCCAAATTTCAAATTTGGTCTTCCACATGCCCATATTCTTAGGAGGATTACGTCATTCAAAATTCGATGGCTCTATATGCCGTTGTTTTATCACAATGCGAGAAATATACATACTGTTACGAATTTGGTATTTAAAAAGCTAATGTTAGTTCAATTATAAATTAAATGGTTTTATTTCTCGCGCAGTGCAGCGCGTGACGAATATTAAAAGAAATCTAAGCCGGAAAATTGAAAATACAAGAGCGCGTGCATTAAATAAATAAATATCTATTTTTGATTTCGAGAAAGTACCAGAAAATTCTAGCGCGTGATTTTAAAATCTTATAAAAAGGAGGAAAACATCTCAGTTCGTAGTAGTTGCTTAGTTTGTTGTTGTTTTAGAAAACTGCTCTTGTTGATTGTAGCGAATTCGCGGATTAGCATTCTTTAGCTGTTTTGAATTACGTTCTATTGGACATTTGAGTAGTTAAAAGATAACTACTGTGAGATATTGTAATACTGCATGATAATTTGAGAAAATTTAAGCATTTTTGCTGTGATAATAATAAAGTTTTGTTCATTTTTCATCGGACTTGTGCATTCATTTCATAACGAATCTGTACGCACGCAACAATACATTTATGCAGATTTTTCATTACTTAATTTTTTCAAATACAATGCAGGACTCTAACATTTGGAGGCAACAAATGTTAAAGGTGTTGTTTGAAAAGTGATTCGTCGTTTATAGTGATTCAGCGTAAAATCGCAAGACGAAAACAATATTCCTTTAGGGAAAAAGCCCGTTTGGACTAAAAAACGATTTGATGACAAAGGCAGTAGTTAAAATGAAACTATAAAATTTATACAAGACAGTGAAAT